CTGCCTGCTTTGGGTACGCGGTCTCACCTCCATGGAAGGCTTGGTGCCCACCGCAATGCAGCCTGAGCACAGGCAGGGGGTCTTCCTTCCAGGCACCTGACTAGTGGGGAGGCAGGTTTAAACCATCTTGAGGCCAGGGATACGCCAAAGTAAGTAATCAGCTGCCCTGCAAGGAGTAGACCCGAGTTGGGCTCCATCCCCAACACCCCGTGTGGTCTCTGGAGCCTCACCAGGAATGATCCCTGAGCACAGAGCCAGGAGTAAGCCCTGAGCATCCCCAGGCGTTGCCTACAAACCGAAAGCACAAAATAAATGGTCTTTCAAGTCATGAAATTTACATGCAAGTGGTACTACATGGAAAGTATCATGCTAAGCGTAATGAGTCAGAAAGAGAGGGATAGACATAGAAAGATTGCATACATCTGGCGAACATAAAGTAACAAAACAGGAGACTAACACCCAAGAATAGAGGAGATTAGAACCAGGAGGTTTACTCCATGGCTTGGAGGCCAGACACACATGCTAGGGGAAAAGGGAGCTCAGATAGAGAAGGGAGCACCAAATAAAGGGTGTTGGGAGGATCCTCCCAGGATGGGAGATCCGTGCTGAGAGTGGACTCTAGATCGAACATGATTGCCACTCGATGCCTCTTCTGCAAACCACAGCACCCAAAAGGAGAGAGAGAAAGAAAGGGTATGCCCTGCCACAGAGGCAGGGTGGGATGGGGGGGTGGGAGGGATACTGGGATCCGTGGTGGTGGGAAATGGGCACCGGTGGAGGGATGGGTATTTGATCATTGTATAATTGAAACCCAAGCACAAAAATTTGTAAGTCTACAACTGTACCTCATGGTGTCTCACTAATAAAATTTTTTTAAAAAATGGCTTTTCTCAGACCTGGGCACGCTGCTGGACTCTTCTTTGCCATGGTGGAGGCCACTGGCGAGCCCCGTCCCCTGGGTAGGAACCGAGAAACCAGTCGGCTGAGTGCCAGGAACTCCGTGGCGTTTCCTGTCCCCAAGTCCCCTTCTTCCTAAGGCCCATTCCCTGCAGCTCACGGCACTGCCCCTACCCAAGAGCTCTTGGAAATATCCTTATGTTGCGTCATTTTTTGGTCACACTCAGAGGTTCAAAACTTAACCCCTGCACTCCCTCTCCAGCCAGGATTTGTTTGCTCTGGGGGCCAGAGCAATAGTACAGTGGGTAGGATGTTTGCCTTGCACACATGGCTAACCTGGGTTCGATCCCTGGCATCTCATGCACTTTTGGGAGGAGTAATTCCTGAGTGCAGAGACAGGAGTAAGCCCTAGACATTGCTGGGTGTGACCAAAAAAAAAAAAAGAAAAAGAAAAAGAAATTTGTTGCAATGCAGAATGCAGTGCCCAAGATTGAACCCGGCAAGGGCCTAACCCCAGGTTCCTCTCTGGTCCTGTGCCAGGATTGTTCAATTGAAGTCATGAAGGTTGATAACTTTTTTTTTCTTTTTGGGTTACACCTGGCGATGCTCAGGGGTTACTCCTGGTTCTTCGCTCAGGAATTACCCTTAATGGTGCTCGGGGAACCATATGGGATGCTGGGAATCGAACCCAGGTCGGCCTCGTGCAAGGCAAACGCCCTACCCGCTGTGCTATCGCTCCAGCCCCGAAGGTTGATAACTCTTGCTTTACATGTGACCAACCCTGGTTTGGGGTCATCAGGATTACACCCAGCAGTGAGTGCTCAGGGCTGACTCCTGGCTCAGAGCTCACTCCTGCCAGGGCCGGGGACCATACACGGTGCCAGGTATCGAACCTAGGTTGGCTGTGTGCAAGGCAAGTGCCCTATCTGCTGTACAATATGTCCCAATTTCTGGCTCTCTTGGATGCGCACCACCAGTACGAACAGTTCCCACTGTTTGGAAGGCCTCTGGGGAGAGCCTGGGCACCGGACTTGCTGGCACAGATGTCCGAGAGGTTTCCCTCTTGGATGGTGTGAGTCGGGCTCTTTTCCTGTGTGCTTCTGTGGCCAGGTCTGACCTTGTTCATCAGCCTCTTGGTGTCTCCTGAGAAGTGGGTTCTACCCTTCCCAATGCAGCGGGTGCCAGCCTGACGCCTGTCTGCCCTTCCCAATGCAGTGGGTGCCAGCCTGATGCCCGTCTGCCAGGCCCAGTACAGTGGATGTCAGCCTGACGCCCATCCGCCTTGCCCAGTGCAGTGGGTGCCAGCCTGATGCCAGTCTGCCTGGTCCAGTACAGTGGGTGCCAGCCTGATGTCTGTCCGCCCGGCCCAGTGGGTGCCAGCCTGATGTCCGTCTGCCAGGTCCAGTACAGTGGGTGCCAGCCTGATGTCCGTCCACCCAGTCCAGTGGGTGCCAGCCTGATGCCCATCCGCCTGGCCCAGTGCAGTGGGTGCCAGCCTTATGCCTGTCCGCCCTGCCCAGTGCAGTGGGTGCCAGCCTGATGTCCGTCTGCCCTGCCCAGTACAGTGGGTGCCAGCCTGATGCCCGGCTGCTTGCTCGAGGCCTCTTCACCTGCCAAGCCATGTCCAAACACCCCAGGGTTTTTGTTGTGTTTTTTGGCTTCTCCCTGCTCTGTGCTCGGAGTACTGGGCCATGTGTTCCTGGGAAGCAAATCACAAGCAGTGTCCACACAGAAACCTGCCCTTTGAGCCACCTCCCCTGGCCCTGTTTTCCTCATGTAATACCTATTATCGAAGGGGGGGGGGTGCAGAGAGGTAGCACAGTGGGAAGGGCACTTGCCCTGCACCAGTCAACTCAGGTTTGATCTCCGGCATCCCCTACGGTCCCCTGAGCCCCACCAGGAGTGATCCCTGAGGGCAGAGCCAGGAGTCAGCCCTGAGCACCACAGAGTGTGGCCCCCCAAGCCCAAACTGAAACCAAAAAATCTTAAACCTATCCTTTATTCTGGCATTATTCCACGCAGGCGTCCCTGTGTCTGCCTAAGTAGACTTGGGCTGGACCCCACTACTAACGGTGGCTCGAACTGACCCCTTAAGGCTGGCCAAGCAGGGCTCAGGTCTTTGGTCCGGTGGAAGAAGGGAGCTGGAGGCCACCTTGCCTAAAAGGGGAGCAACAGCCACTCGAACTTTTCCAACATCATTGTTTTATTTATTTATTTATTTTGGGGAGGGGAGACACACTTAGATCAGGGATCATGCCTGGCCAGGCTCGGGAACCGTATGTGGAGCTGGGGATCGACCCCGTGTTGGCCATATGCAAGGCAAGTGCCCTCCCCGCTATACTATGGTGCTATACTATAGAATACCTTTAATGAGGTGACCACTGAGAGCTGGAGAACGAGGAGCCCAGAAAGGTGCCTGCGGTCCTCACAGCCTGAGCCGGCAGCCACCCAAGTCGTCATTTCACATGACAGGGCAGCCCTACCCTGCAGGGCCTCAGCCTCCTGGCCAGGTCATTCATATTCCTCTGAGATGACTCAACTGGTGCCAGGGGACAGTGGGACAGAGGGCTCGTCACCTGGGCAGGCCATGCCCATGCTGCACCTCCCCGCGGGCTAGTATTTTTATCCAAAGTCCTTGGCTCCATCCGAAGGGCCGGCTTGGAGACCTTGATGTCCAGTCCCTGCCTCGTGGCCGTGCCACCCTCGGGGCTAGAGCTGCCCCCTGCAGCTCAGGGTCCAGGCCCACCCTCCTGACCTGGAGAATCCTGTGAAAAAGTCCCTCTCCTTGGAGCAAATTCACACTCGATTTTTTTTTTGTTTTGTTTCTGGATCCAGTGAGATCCCCACACTGCCGGCCACTGCTGTCACCACGGGCCAGTCTCCCGGACAGCCAGGGAAAACTGGAAACCAAGAGCTTGGCCTGCTTGTATTCGGCCGCGCCCCGCTTCCAGAAAGGGTGAAGGGCAGTGGGTCAGCGTGGAGGGAGGGTCCTGGGGTGGGGGAGTGGCCTCCGGGATGGGGGTGAATGTCTCACTCCCTCGGTGGACAAAGGTGCATAAAGTCAGAGGCACGCGGGGGCGGGGAGGAGGCGGGCGCGACCTCTAGGCCAGAAGCCAGGTGGCACTCACCTTTGGTCACTGTTCTAGGCAGCTGACATTGGGGGGGTGGAGGGCACACGCTGCTGGAAGGGAAGGCGCCACACCAGCCGGGAGCCTTTGAGGTCCCGGCGTTCTCAGCACCACGGACAGGGAAACTGAGGCAGCGGGCGGCCTCGGGGGTCCTCCGCGCAGCCCGCAACTCATCTTTTCCTCTTTTCGGGGGCCTGGGCTGGTTCGGGACTAAGAATTCCCCGGGGCCCCGGGCTGGACGGGGCGTGGCCATCCCGCGCAAGGTGCGGAGCTGTGCGGTGCAAACAGCCGCGCCGCGCCCCAAGGTCACGCGGGACCGGGCGCAAAAGTGTCCAGCCTCGAGGGGGGGCGGGGGGGGGCTCCTCCCTGTCCCCCGACCGCGCTGCCCTGGGGATTCCCAGAGGCCCGAGGAAAGCTTCCGCCCGCAGGCAAGACCCAGGTGACGCTAAGACCCCCCAGAGGGCAGGAAAACGCTGCCGGCTCAGCCGGCCCGGGGAGGGGCCGGGGGGGGGGGGCTCCGCTGCGACCCCGCACCCCTCCGCCCCGCAGCCCGCGGGCGCCCGGTGGAAGCCCCGCCCCGCCCACCTGGCCCCGCCCCTCCAGGCCCCGCCCCCGCGCAGCGCCCGGGGCGGGGGAGGGGCCCGAGCCGCAGCCAATGGGGACGCGGCGTGGCGAGGGCGGCGGCGGTTGTGATGCGCCGGGGCGGGCGGCGGCGGCCAATCAGCGGCGAGCGCGAGGGCGGCGGGTGACGCGGCGGGCGCTTCTCGTGCGGCGGCGGTATAGGAGCGCGCGCCGCGGCCAGCAGGGCCAGCCGAGCGCCGCCGCCGCCGCCCGCCCGCCGCTCCCGCCGCTCCCGCCGCTCCCGCCGCTCCCGCCGCTGCCGCCGCTGCCGCCGCTGCCGCCGGCCTCCGAGCGCCGCCGCCCGCCGCCCGCCGCCCGCCCCGGCCTCCCCGCGGGGCAGCGCGCGCCCGCCCGCCCGCCCCGGCCGGACCCCGCGCCCGCCCGGGATGAAGACCAAGTTCTGCCACGGGGGCGAGGCGGAGGCGCCGGCGCTCGGGCTGCTGCTGAGCTGCGGCGGCGACCCCGCGGCCCCCGCGCCCGGCCCCCCGCGCGACGCCGCCGGCGAGCGCGAGCCCAAGGCGCGAGCCCGGCCCCCCGCGCCCCCCGCAGACGCCGCCGCCGCCGCCGCCGCCGCCGAGCAGCCCGAGCCCCGCACGCGCCGCCGGGCCTATCTGTGGTGCAAGGAGTTCCTGCCCGGCGCCTGGCGCGGCCTGCGCGAGGACCAGTTCCACATCAGTGTCATCAGGTCGGTGGCGGCCCGCGGGGGCGCGGGGCCCCGGGAACAATGCGGCCCGGCCCGGGGGGGAGGGCGGGGGGCGCCCGCGCCGCGGTCTCAGCGCCCCGGGTCCCAGGTGACGGCTCCCGCGGGCGCGGGCCTGAGCCCCACCCTGCTGGGACCGCTCGGCGTTCCTCGGCCGACCCCCCTTTAGCCCCCAGATGCGGTCCGGCTTGAGACCCGCGGGGCGGGGGGACGCGGAGACCCCCTGCCCTGGGTCGGGCTCGCCCCCGCGCCCCTTAACGGGCCGTGTTGTTGGGGGCGCCCCCCGAGAGACAGACCTGCTTGGTGCTCGAGCCCCGCCAGAGCGATCCCTGAGCACAGAGCCAGGAGTCAGCCCTGAGCACCGTGGGGTGTGGCCCGACTGCCCCCAACTATAAAAAAAAAAAAAAAAGCAAAGCCAAAACTCAGGGCTGCAAGAGAGTGAATGGGGGGGGGGTAAGTCACCGGCACAGCGCCACTAAGAGTCAGCCCTGAGGGCGCTGGGGCGATAGCACAGCGTGGAGGGGGGAGGGCGTTTGCCTTGCACGTGGCCGACCGACCCCCGGTTCGATTCCCAGCATCCCATATGGTCCCCTGAGCACCTCTAGGAGTAATTCCTGAGTGCAGGAGCCAGGAGTAACCCCTGTGCATTGTTGGGTGTGACCCAAAAAGCAAAAAAAAAAAAGAAAAAAAAAAGCCAAGAGTCAGCCCAGAGCACCGTGGGGTGTGGTCCAATACCCTCTCCCTTCCCGCCCCCTAATAAAAAGCAAAGTCAGGCTGGAGAGATCTTATTGGGGCAATAACTTGCTGCCTTGGGTTCCGGCCCCGGAAGGACACATGGTTCCTCAGCGCCAGCAAGAGTGAACCCTGAGCACAGGGCCAGGCACCTGGGGGGCCCCCATACAACCCCCCTTCTAGTGTGGGCCCTTTGTGGACACGGTGGGGAGGGGAGACCTAGGCCCCGGTGCTGACAGCGGTCTGAAACCCTGGGTGCTGTCTGTCCCCACAACCCTCCCAGAAGGTCTGTGCCAGTTTCTTGGGGTGGGGGCTGGGAGGGGAGTCCCGCAGCAGTGCTTAATTTGGGGTGGGGGCTTCTGGCGGTGCTCAGGAACCAGGCCCGGTGGTGCGCTGGGGACACCTCAGGGTGCCGAGCTGGGGTCCTGCCGTGCTGGGACCCACCAGGACCACCTCGGGAGCTCCGATGCCTTTGGGGCTCCTGCTGAAGGGTGGTGGGTGGGGGCATGTGGTAGTGGGGTTTGGTCCTCGTGTCCCCTGGGCCACTGAACTGCCCTCGGGTCTCCAAGCTTTCTTTTTGTTTGTTTTTGGGCCACTCTCAGGATGACTCGTGGCGGTGCTCAGTGGACCATATGGGATGCCAGGGATCGAACCCGGGCGGCAAGGCATTCAGTGGCCTACCCACTGAACTCTCGTCCTACCCGTCCTATTCCTCTGCCCCCCACCCCCCAGTTTTCTTGTAATTAGCTGACCAGGTTGCCTGCTACCACCAGTAACCCCCAAATGCAGCTTGAGTCATGTGAATCTTTTTCATGCCGGCCTTTCATCAGATCCGCAAAGGCAGCAAAATTAACCGAGCTTCACTTCCCTTTTTTTGTATGCCTCCGGCCTCTGGTACAAATAACATTTATGAGCACAAGTTAAAAGGCAGTTAGCTGGGACCGCAGCGGGCAACGGCAGGGGCGCTTGCTTTGCATGTGGCCGACCAGGGTTTAGTCCTCGGTGATGCATATGGTGACCTGAGCGCCACTAGCAGTGAGCACTGAGCACAGAGCCAGGAGTAAGCCCTGAGCATCACTGGGTAGGGTTCAGTAATAGAAAAAAAAAACCCAAAAGGTAGTTTGAGGGGCTGGAGCAATTAGCACAGCGGGTAGGGCGTTTGCCTTGCACGCGGCCGACCCGGGTTCGATTCCCAGCATCCCATATGGTCCCCTGAGCACTGCCAGGAGTAATTCCTGAGTGCAGAGCCAGGAATAACCCCTGTGCACCGCCGGTGTGACCCAAAAAGAAAAAAAAAAAGATAGTTTGATAGAAGCACACCAAAACAAACAGAAAAAACCAACGTGTGTTCATTTATTCGATAGTCTCTGAGTTGCCTATGGGAGCGGTTCACATTCAGGTGGCCTTGACGGCCCGCAGAAGGTTGCCGGAACGCCCTAAAAGGTGCTGTCAGCCCAGCTGTGAAATCAAACCCTGCAGGCCGGCGGCCCCGCGCCTGCGTCCCAGCTCAGCGGCTCGGCTCTGTGTTGTTGCAGGCCCGACAGTCCGGGGGTGTCTCAGGAGCAGGCGTGCGTGGCCTGCACGTCGGGGGCCCTGGGTGTGATCCCTGGCACCGGGACAAAATCCAGACACAAAAAGAGCCTTGAGGGTGCTTTGTTCCTCTCCCCCTGAAATTAGTATTCCTGGAAGGCCGTGTCCCTCTTGGAGCGGAGGGCCCGGACACCAGTGCCGCGGCTCTACCTTCTCGGCCCTGCTTCCTGGAACAGGATGTCGGCGTTGGAGTGAGCAAGCATGGTGATCTGAAGTCGGGGAAAGCAGGCAGGCTAGCTTTAAAAAAAAAAAAAGGCAAGCGGCAGTCAGGAGAGGGCCCTTTGGAGACCCAGGATCCTCCCGGTGGAGTTGCTGGGGGGGGGGGGGCTCCAGCAAGCAGGCGTAATTGCCCACACACCCAGCAGTGCTCAGGGCTTACTTCCGGCGTTACCTGGAGGACTGCGGGATGGCGGGGATTGAACCCTGGCCCGCAGCGTGAGCTATCGCCCTGACCCCTGCTCCACACTCGCTAATCTCTTTCTCCAGCCTCAGCTCTCTGCAGAGTTGCCAGCGGTTTATCAGAACTCACTGCCTTACCCCAGGGCGTGCATCTGCCCGAGACTTCCTCCCGTCACTCCCTCCCGCCTCAGTGTGCTGTGGTCGCCCTGAACTCGGCCCCTCCGGGCCACTCGGGGCCAGCCAAGCCCCCTGACCTGCTTTGCGCCCACTCCTGTCTTCTGAGCCCAGGCCGACCGTCCTGTCCCTGCCTGGACCCCAGGGCGGGCGGTGCCTGGGATTAGCTCTTTGTGCGTGTGTGTCCCATGTGTTCTGCATTCTGTTTATCCAGTGACATTATTTCTTTGTTCAAACTTTCGCTGCCGCTTCCTACTGCCCGAGAATAAACCCTGGATTTTTCACGACTTACATTTGAGCCCCGGCCTACCTTTGTGTGCGCGTGCATGTGTTGATTTTTTTCACTGTTCCGAAGTCACCCCTTCCCCCTCACCGCCAGCAGCTCCAGCGAGCTGGCGACTCGGGACTCTGCAACCCTCGAGTGAGCCTCGTTTCCCAGCCTCCAGGCCTTTTCTTCGCGCCTGCTCTCTGCTTGGCAACCTCACGTTCGCGTTTTGAAATTCTTCCTGCGAGGCTCGCTCGGTGAGAATCGAGCGGAGTTCAATTCTTCCACTCCGCAGCCCCAGCCGGCCGGCCAGCACACCTTTTCTCCACCTCTGCCCTTCCTGGTTGGCGAAGACCTTTGTCCGACTCCCCGTCAGATTGAGTTCCTGGAAGGCATATCGTGTTCCGCTTTGTATCTCTTAGCAGGAGAATGGTGCCTGACACACTGGATTCGGCCTAGGTTTTTTTTTTCTTGCAGCTCGCTTAGTGTGAAGACAGGGGTCTTTGTAACCGGCGGCCGATTGCCAAGGCCGCCCCAGCGGAAGGATGAAAACGCTCATTAATGGGCTGACTGCGGGGGAAGTTTGGGCCCGGCCCAGGTGACACAGCTTGACGCCAGCCCCTGTCCCCTTGCCCGTCAAATCAAGGGTCGGTTATTCTCACCCTTGTTCTCTCCCTCCCGGTTGTGAGATTAAGTGGCAGATCTTTCCAAAGATGTGGGGCTCAGGCGACAGAACCCGGGGTTCGGGCGCTTGCCTTAGACCCGGCCAACCAGGGTTTGATTCCAGACAGCCCATGCAAGTCTCCAGCCCCGCCCGGAGTGATGCCTGAGCACAGAGCCAGGAGTCAGCCCTGCGCACTGCCGAGTGTGGCCCGAGAACCAAACCAAAAACAGGAAAAGGAAAAACAGTTCCAAGTTTCACACGGGCTTGTCTGGATACATTTCAGAGCCTCCGCGGCCCGCGCTCAAGCCCTTTGCGCTTTCCCGGGGGACTTTCTCTGGGGACTTCGATTTTAGTTTTTTGGGCCGTACTGGTGATGCTCAGGGCTTACTCCCGGCTCTGCACTCACGGGTCACTTCTGGCGGGACTCGGGGGACCCAGGGATTTGATCCTGGTCGGTTGTCTGCAGAGAGCACACCCTACTCCAGGGGTCTTTATTTTTATGTTGCTTGAAGGGCCACACCTGCTCATTGGATTTTTCCTAGCAGGGCTCCGGACCTCGCACCCGGCCGACCTGGGTTTGATCCCCGCCATCCCATATGGTCCCCCAAGCACCGCCAGGAGTAAATCCTGAGTGCAGAGCCAGGAGTAACCCCTAGGCATTGACACTCACGGGCCACCCCCCCAAAAAAAAACAAAGAAATTGGGACTCTGTTCGACAAAGCACGACGCACCCAGCCCTTTGAGCCGGTTCCTTCCTTGTGTGGTTTAAGCACTGTTAAAAAAAAAAAATGTTCTTGTGGGGCCAGAGCCATAGCACAGCGGGGAGGGCGTTTGCCACGCATGCAGCCAACCCGGGTTCGATCCCCAGCATCCCATACAGTTCCCCGAGCACTGCCAGGAGTAACCCCTGAGTATTGCTGGTGTGACCCAAAAAGGAAAAAAAAACCCCAGAAGCGTTCTTTTGAACAGCTTTTCACTCTCGTCCAGATCAGTAGACAGTGTTTGTGTGAATCTATACTGTGACATTGATCTGGGTTTGTTTCTTTTTTTGTTGTGGTTGTTCCACTCTATCTTGAATAATGTAATGTAGCTTTATGGTACATCTTAAAGTCTAGCAGGGTTAGTCCTCTGACTTTATTCTTCAGTGTTGGCTCCTCTGAA